TAGGGTTAGTACAATATTGTCCAATGACAGATAAGTGACCTGTAATGAATAAGCCAGTTATTACTTACCTAGATGCCTGAAGTAGTATTTATTGCAGTGTCAACTGCATATTACAATTATGCATATTTTTAATCAATGCAGCCATTGGGTTATAAAGTGATAACAGTTGTTATATTTAACTATTCTTGTATGTCACAGCTTTCTGAAAACAGTTTCTAGACTGATGTTCTTTATTATGAATTGTTTTTCTTTCCTTCTTTAGACATGATGATAAGAATAGAGGTTCATTTACTAGTGATGTGGAAGCAGTAATAATGTAAGATCATACAGTAAGCCGTTTATTCAAAGCTGTGTAATTATTTTAGTCTTTATCAGCTGATATCTGGGTGTTAACTGTTGTATGTAGGAAGTTCATGAAGCAAACAAATGTCCAGAGTCATATTGAAGGTTGCACAGCTCTCTGTGCTTTGATTCAAGTAAGTCAAATACTTTCTTGTTACATGTAGCTTGTATCCTTCACACCATTCTTCATCACCTTGACCTCTTGTGAACATTTGTTCATATTTATTTACTAGATGGTTTACTTCATCATATGCAGCACATGTATATCAGGATATTGTCTTTGTTTGGTTGTTTAGGGATGTCAAGAAAGTGCCTCTTCTTTACTGAAATCAGATGAGATAACAAACCTTATCGTTGCTCTGAGTACCAAAGAAGGCTTGGAAATACAGGTACACAGGCATCAGTTGACTTAAATACCAACATTAACCCTAACCCTATCACCACTTGATATTAAAATACAAGTCATTTTTAATCAGACCTGGTATATTAGTATAGTGTAAACAAGTAAGGACTTGAATTCACTTAAAGCCAATAAATAACAAAGGAATGGTCCCTCATAATCAATCATATTGTGTGCCCCCTGAAAATGGAGCATGATCTTTTGTACATGTATTGTATTTTTATGTTTATGTTGTGTTATCAGATTGTGGCTGCTGAAACTCTGGCCTTAGCAACATCAGACAAGACCCTGTGCTCAACACTAGGAGAAGCAGTATGTAAATCATTGTTGTTAGTAAGACTTAGTGTATTGTTGCTGTACTATCCAGCAAGTTGCTAAGTTCCATATCATGAAAACCATGCCATGGTATTTTTTGTTTTTTAAATGTTCATATTCACTTTTTAAAAATCATTGGTTACACATCATGTATATGGTAATAGCATTTTTTAAACATAAGTGCCACTCTCAAATAAACTCCGCCCCCAAATTAACACTGCATATGAAAACCAAAAGGTGTAATAAGCGCTGCAGCRCTCAAACAAGTAAATACGGTATGTTGCAATTGGCTGGTCATAATGAAAACGTTTTCCATTTAAAGAACAAAAGAATATTTCGTTTGATATTGCTGCTACTTATATATTGAAGTGATTGCTAATAGATATACTGTGTTTTTAAAAATCAAGGGTTTGGCGTCCCTCAAACATTTGTACCACTTGAAGAATGATCGAGTGCGTGTACGAGCTCTTGTGGTAAGCTGATAATGACTAACGATTACTATTTGGGACAGCATTGGTGCTTTGAATACAACAAGTGAATAAGAATGACTAGTGGTTACTAGTTGGGACTGTGTTGGTGTGTTGAATACAACAAGTGAATAAGAATGACTAGTGGT